GATTATATTTATGTTACATTTTCAACTGATAATTGTTAGTATATCAGAATTATATGTTGCTATCATCTGAAGCAAACTTACAGAATCTTTAAATTAATTTTTATCACTTTCACTTCTTTTGAATTTTCAAAATAAATTTTTTCATCATCTGCCAAGATGGGCAGTATCTCAATCCTATCCTTTTGCCATCTGGAAAGGGTTCATAATCTTGTCATGCAGCTGTACTAGTTGTTCTTTTTGCTGTTTCTGCTTGAAATTGTCCCTAGTTAGCTTAGTTATAAATGTTTTAAATTTCAATTATATTTTTATACTTGATATCTCCAGTTGGTTCTTATTTACAAAGGTGTTCCTGACTTATGTTTTTTAAAACTCTACCCTTTTAGAGATTTTTAATATATATATATATATATATATATATACATATATATATATATGTCTGATTTATTTATTTATGCATACAGAGCTGGAGTACAGGCCAGAGGTCCAGGGATGATGAGAAGCTTCACCAGAAACAGAGTAAGGGAGCAGACAGGCCAACTAACAAGTGCACTGTTGAGGGGAGCAGCAAGCGGGTCAGGAGAGGTCTGCTGCACCATGTGGGTCACCTCTGGGGCTGGGGATTGAACTCATGCTGAAGAGACTTTAGCTTCTTAGTGCTGGGTTTTAACCAGCTGTGCCACCAGGGAGGGCTGATTTTTAAAATATATTTTAACCTGCCAGTTCCTTTTGACTGTTTTTCCTTGTTTTGATTTCCTTCTCATAATAATTTTCTTACATTCATCAGAAAGCTGGTTATTAGTTTCTTGGCTAATGATGTTCTTGCGTCTACCTAAATTTAGTAATTATACATGACTTTAAACCTGTTCACAAAGTCTTGCCCTATAGCTTTTTTTTAAAGGTTTATTTATTTATGCATACAGAACTGGAGTACAGGCCAGAGGTGCAGGGGCAGTGAGAGGATTCACCAGAGACAGAGTGGGGAGCAGGACTGATGAAGTCTGCTGCTGAGGGGAGCAGCGGGTGGGCAGGAGAGGTCTGCCGCCAAGTGGGATCACCTGATATCGGGGATCAAACTCATGCTGAAGTGGCTTTAGGTTCTTAGTGCTGTGCTTTAACCCTCTGAGCCACCAGAGAGGGCCCTGTCCTATAGTTTTTAAGGTAATTAGTTCTTATAAATGCAAGAGAACTTTCTAATCCAAATCCCCTGACAGTAGCTATTAATGGTAGGATAAAAGGGAATGTGAATGCTGCTTCTCATTTAATAAACAACAAAACTGAACTTTCCAAGTGCCCCTCCAAACAAACAAATGAAACAAAAGCAAATATTCCAAGATCATTCTAGGTGGCAGAAATTATCTTTTATTTGCATCATATCATATAAAATTCACATGTAATCACTCTACTAAAATCTGTTATACAAGGGAGGTGATTAAATTTCAGAAAACTTAGAAACTTGTCTAAGTTCTATCAGAGGGAAGAGACAAGGGCCAGGGCAGAAATCTACTGCCCCCTTTCTGCCTTCTGCTTAGTATTTGCTTATGTTCTAGACTTTGTAGATTCATTTTGTATGCTTAATATTTATTTTCATTCAGTAGGCACAATTCTCTAGAAGTATCTTAGAAGGTATTTTTTTGTTTTTCTTAAGGTCAGACGCTATACCTGGCACCTAGTAGAACAATAATTTCTCTGAAAACAGATAAATAAATGAAAATTTTATTGGCTCTCCAAACATCCATCAAACTCACTAGGAGTAATTTGGGAATTTCTGATGCAATCCCCAGTAGACCTTTAACAAGGTGTCTGGGGTGGTTCATGCAGACAGAATAAACAGAATAAAAGACAGTTTACCTTTTGCAAATGTTACTTTATAAGAATGTCATGTTGAAATGGGATGAAAGGGAGTTACTTAACAGCAAGTTTTATGGTGGAGATTTTTCTAAAATCATTTTGTAGCCTTCTTCTAGGCTTTGTTTATGGCACTAAATATGAGTGTGACTACAAGGGGGAAATCTTAGCCACTTTGTATTGAACTCAGTATTATCCTGGCACAGCAGTGTTAGATATATGAGAACATCAAAGTCTAAAATCTAGTAACTTGATAATCCAGAAACCATATTCCATTCTATTACTTTATGATTTTTATTTTATGCTTAATGAAAATAGTAATGATAATTAATTGCAAATACTCATTATAGTAGATACAACCCAATTAGGGAGCTGCTTTACTATCAGAGTCTCAGCTCCCAAACATATACACAATGAGAGCTCATACATATTAGAGCTAAGAGGGATTTTTTTTTTTAAAGATTTATTTATTTATTCATACAGAACTGGGGTACAGACCAGAGATGGGGAGGGTGAGAGGATTCACCATGAACAGAGTGGGGAGCAGAACAGGCAGATCAGCGAAGTACACTGCCGAGGGGAGCAGTGGGCGGGTCAGGAGAGGTCTGCCACGCCATGTGGTCACCTCTGGGGCAGGCGGGGATCGAACTCGTGCAGAAGTGGCTTTAGTTTCTCAGTGCAGTGCATTAACCCGCTGCGCCACCAGGGAGGGCCTAAGAGGGATTTTTTAAAGCACAATTTCTAATCATTTGCAGAAAAAACATCTCAGATTTTTATTTTTTGATTTTTATATTTCTATAACTTAAGCTTTAGAAAATTAGGCTACAGCTCATCAGCCAAAATTCTAGCAGAGATAATTTGGCTATCTGCAAGAGGTATAAACAAGATAATTGAAACAAGATAAAAGATAATTGAAAAAGGAATGTTCAGAAACAGCACAGAATTTGGCTTCCAAAATGGGAGGAAATATTATTCAAAGTCTTCACTGTTTATATTGTATATATTAGACAAAGTTAGCTTATGATTCATCTCAGATTATTTTTTAAGATGACATACATTAGATTTAGAGTATATTCCTCTTCCATAGAGGTGTGCCAATTTAACAAACATGTTGAATAAAGTATCCTTTGGATGTCCTATACTTCAATTGTCATAGTTTAAATTCTAGAATCAATCTAGAAGTTTAAAATAAGTAAAATTAACCTTCTTGGTAGATATTCTCTATTTGAGTTTCCAAGAAAGAGTAGGACATAAAATGTATTAATGTTACTAATTTTGATATGTTAAATATTGGAATGAGAAGAGCAATATTGAATATCTGAATCAAATAATTCAGTATTGAAGGAAAGAGGGGCCTTGGGCTCAGAATTTTAAAACAAAAAAAGTTATTTGTAAGGCCTACATTGCAAGACAGAGAGAAGAGAAAGAAAAGATGTAAAATATATAAATAAAAACAAACAAACAAAAAAAAAAACAAGCAAACAAGAGCATGCTCACCAGTGAAAGACCAGTAACTACCCACCACAGTGCCATAACTCTTCACTATCCTGCTTTTGCTCTACACATGTGTAAAGCCAGAATTTTCTTTTGAGGACCCATTGGAAGAAAATCTTATGTCATTCAGAAAGGGATGAGGAGACTTTGGTTAACTCACCCAGGACAGCTATGTAGATAACAGGCTACTGTACCATTTTAGCAAACTTTCCAAAGCCCTAATTAAAGGCACTGATGACAAACAGGATTCAGGGTTCTCCACTAACAAATTTAAAGTCAACAAGTTCAGAAAAATGGAATGAGGATTATTCAATAAGTCAGTGTGTGGGCTATGAAAACATTTTTAAGGATTGCTTTCTTAATTTTCTTGAATATGTCACATGAAGATATTTATATCATATATAAATCAAATTTTTCGTATGTGCACTATGCATGTATGATATATACAGATATATAAATGTCTCTATAAAAAAGTGATTATAGAACATCTGGTTTCTTCATTTATATCCTCCATTACTTCAGATGTTAAATCTCAGAATCCCAGTGAAGCTAACAATTAAAAACCCTAATCACTTTCATTTGAAGATTTTTCTGTTGTTGTCTTTTTTTCTGGAAAATTGTCCTGAATTACTAACTTAATATTATAAGTGAAGATATTTACACCATGTGATATGTAATTAATGAGGATGGTAACTTTATTGCAGTGTCAAGAACATTGATGTGTCTTTGTTCTGATTTTAAGATGTTCTAATCCTGAAAGTTTTTTTAAAAGATTGCCATAGATGAAGAAAAATGTTTTATGTTTTTGTAGCATTGAATTTAAATATTATATATTAAGTGTCGAAAGAGTCCATTTTTAATTGAGAATATTAAAATTTTTCTGAGCTGACTTAGTTATCAAGCTTACCATTATAGGGTAAGTGGAATGGGAGAAAAAAAATAACACTTAAAAAGTTTCTGTATGATTAAATGAAGGGGGAAAAAAAAACAATTTGGTTAAAAGAAGTGAAAAAAAAACTGTTTATAAAAACCTCCATAATCCATAACAGACAATACAGAATTAAGATTCTGATCTGAGAAAGAATATATTTCTGTCTGTTGTTTTTCTTTATCATTATCATTTCCCTTGCCTTTTCTTCTTCTAGTACTCAAAAATATCAGAAATGTTCATGATTTATTTTTATTGAAATTTCTTGAAGCTAAAGTACTTGAGATACATCAATAATTATATTGAAATTTGAATTTTATAACAATGTTAGTAAGTTATTTTTGCAAGATACTATGAGTATTTTCAGTTTATAAAGTCACTTCTGTATCATAACCAATAAAAATGCTTTCTATTACTTATATTTTGGGGGCACTCTGCTCTTTTCAAAGTTGGTTTTCAAGTATTTCTTTACATTAAAACATACAGATACACATACCATATATATTATATATAACCATATATACCATATATAATAGATATAAATATACATACCATTAGAGGAGACTTTGAAGCTAAGGTTGATATATGCTTATTTTTTATATATTCATCTGAAAAAAATTAGACAATTAGCTTTTTTGTTATTTTAAATCTATAGGAATAGCCAAAATCAGTATTGCAATGAGATTATCCTGAGCACAATGAGATTATAGTTCATTATGTCTTACCTCCTCAGATAAATTTGCAAAGAAAAATGAGAGTTACTGGTGTGATCACCCAAGGAGCCAAAAGGATTGGAAGCCCTGAATACATAAAATCCTACAAAATCGCCTATAGTAATGATGGAAAGACTTGGGCAATGTACAAAGTGAAGGGCACCAATGAAGACGTGGTAAGACTGACAACATATTTAACTGAAACAAAATCCCACTGAGAATCATGGATTATCAACTAAGAGTATTTAGCAGAGCCTTATGATGATGAAAATAAATTTGATTTTTTTTTAAATTGGGAAGTTTTTCCAAGCTGAAAATTTATAATAACAACCATTTTAGATATTTCAGAAGATTTTAATTAATGTCCCTATAAAGCACATTATGGACCTGTGTATGACAATTAAGATTTATTTTAACAATAGTTCAGCTGTCCATTTTATTTTTTACTTTGAGAGATTTAGACTCTCCATGATCCAACAGCTTTTAATCAAAACAATTACTTTTAAAGAATATCATTTTCTTTAGGAAAAAGGTATTATTTTTAAAGAAACGAACCAAGTGATGGAAAAGATATGTGCCTTTACATACTTCATATTTTAAGGAAATTTTGTTATTTTCTAGAGGAAATATTGTAATGCTCAATATCTCCTTTGTCTTGTCATATGATAGTCCAAATTGTTTTATTAACAACTTTTCCTCAAATGTTTAACTTAAATCTAACTCATTAGACTAAATTTATACATTTGATAACATAACTTTAAAAAATGCCTTTTCTTAAGTGGATTTGAATAAAGTCTTCTGATTTCCAGGTTACATAAAAGATAAAATAAGAACAACACTTAAAGAAATTAAAAATAACAGATTTCAGCACTCAGTTTTTGGAGGGAAATAGATTTTACTGAAGATAATATATATATATATATATATATATATATACACACACACACACATACATATATATACACATACATATATACATATATATGTATAATATATATATATATACACATATATATATGCACCTGTAAAGAATTGTGAGTCTCTTAGCTATTAATCTGAGAATGACAAATAAGAAAATAATCTCAAGGAATCAGATATTAAAATATCATAGGTCTTACCATATTAGAGACAGTGAGTGATCAGGAAGCACCAGTGAAAGACTGGTCCCTAGCAAACAAACAAAAACAGTAACATATGAGACAAAATGAACAGGTAGGTCCAGATTAAGTTGAAAATTTAAGGTGCTTATTTCTCAAAAAATGAGATGTCCTCTCCTAGTCCCAAAAGACCTTTCTTAACATTGGCAAGAACATCATAGTTCTTTTTGATGATGATAATATATTGATAGGTGATACCATAATTCACCATAGTTTATATCTTTAATTATGATTTGATCTATAGGTTTCTTTTTCACTGCTGATGACAAAATATTTCCTAAATATTCTAGGCTAACAAATTATTTCATCTTGGAAAGATTATGTTAAGATACAGAGCCAGTATATGAAAATGGGTGAAGAAACTTGTTATTAACAATTTAAAATTCTAAATTATCCCTTTACACAGGTGTTCCGTGGAAATGTTGACAACAACACACCCTATGCTAACTCCTTCACACCCCCAATCAAAGCTCAATATGTGAGACTCTATCCCCAAGTTTGTCGAAGACACTGTACTTTGAGAATGGAACTTCTTGGATGTGAACTCTCAGGTGAGTCTCATATTACCTATTTCAGCACTTTCTTTAAAGAAAGTAAAGGCACATCTGTATGTAGTCTGCTGCTAACATGCAATTTTTCAGCCCCATGTTCTCATTTCCACTATGAAATAGCTAGGGCATGGTTCAGTAAGAATGCATCTAACTGTTCATAATGCCCCTCATCTCATTTGATCTTGGAAGCTAAGCAGGGTAGACCCTGATTAATACTTGAATAGGAGAATGTGTTTGTGTGTATGTGTGTGTGAGAGATTGTCAAATTTTAAAACATGCTACAGAATAGATTTACTGTAAGAAGGAGCAATGCATTTCTTTTATGATCAAAAAAAGTACCACATATTTTCACTAGATCTTTTGTCAAATTTTAGTGTCTTTACTTTTCGAAGTAATTATGACAAATTGGTGGGGAAAAGTTCAGTAAAAACTGGAACCTGCCAAACCTCATAAATTACAACTATATCAAGGCTCTATAGCATCAAAATTGTCTGACTGTCTACCATGAACTTGGTTGGGCTTTTTTTTTTTTTTTTTCCCTTAGGTTTTATAAAGCATGTGTTTTTATCATTTCTCCTAAGGGACAATACTTCAGTCCCAAGATTGCCACTTTCATGGTTGTCCAGCTCAAAGATAACCTATCAAAAGACTTGAAGTTAAAATAATTCTGAACTTTCAGGGGCATCAGTACTAGATACAGTAATAAAGACAATGTATAGATCGCATAGCAGTCCCATTTAATATAGTTAGATGCTGGACTAAACGAAATTTTCTCTAGGCATTTTAGTTGTATATTTTTAGTGGTTGTTCTTATATTTCTAGCATCAACATTTACAAACTGTCTTTGCCAGTGAGACCTGGATTTATTTCATTCAAACAACTACGAAGAAAACTGAAAAAATCATATGTATTCGACTTTTACAAGTGTAAAAGAACTTTAATCAAACTACATTGTCATTTAATATAAAAAGCAGAAGACAGATCCTTTAAAGAAAAAACTGAGGTTTTATTCATTTTAAAAGATTGTGATGAGATATAAGCACATATGTAATACCCATTTTCCATTCATAGGTTTATTTGTAATGATAAGAAAGGGAATAATTTTTAAGCAAGTAAAAATTACTATGAAAAAAGCAACCAATTTTTTTAAAAGTTCATTACATTTAAAGAATATAAAGCGATTTGGCCAGACAAGGGAATCTATTTTAAGAATCACAATTTCATATATATATATAGTGGTGTCTTTTATGAAGCCATCAGCATATAGTTTTAGTAGCAATAGTTATCCTAATGGTGATATTTTCTGTGGCGTGGAAATTCAAGCCAGCTTATTGACTACCAGTAAATCTCAACAGAATTACTGCTGTACACTGTTTATATTGCGTGTCACTATATCACCACAGACCAGTGTCATCCAGCAGTCATCCATCATAAAGCAATCGGGAGGAAGCCACAATATGATGAGGCTTGCTGCAAGCCCTGTGGTTTTTAGTTGCTTAACATTATCTTCCCCAATTTTTCAGTCTTTGATTCATGAGGGTTAGTCTCTCATACATGGCACAGATCCGCCCCTATGGTATGAATATATTTTATTTTCAAGTTTGACAAGTTGTTACACCTGACACTTTACAGATTTTATGTTCTTAAAAAGAAACTTTTTAAGCTTCCAACCCACCAAATTGATTTTGAACCTGCATGTAGAGACTAGTATCTCTTGGTAGATGCTTTCAAAAGCTAGGACACCTTGCTATGAAATAATCAATTTCATTGTTAATACTTAGTTTTGTTCAGGTGCTATATATGCTGATAAAAAAAACTTAATTTATATGTGTGCAATCATATGGAAAAGAACTTTGTGGACAGAGGCAAATTGGCAGAGAGGTTAGTCGTAACACTTTGAAATAAATAGCCATATTGTGTAACAAAAAAAAAAAAAAAACTATTTTCCACTATCTAGTGCAATTGTAAAGTTCAAGGTAGCCTTGCTGTATTCAATAAAGTGTTACAAGTTCACACAGCCAGCTAGAAGATCAGCTGCTATTCTTTCCCAAGACTCTTAAAAGGGAAATAGTTTAAACTCCCAAATAAAGATATGGTTTATGATGTTTAGAATGAAATGGATCATGATCGTAATTAGGAGAGGAATAGTCATCCATTTATTCTTTAAACAATCATTTAAAATTTCCATTGTGCTAAGTACTAGAGAACTGAGTAGTTAGGAAATGAGTTTATGATAAGCAGGAATCGCCAAAGTAAAGGCATCACTTTTCTTTGCAGTACTTCAAATATATGTTATATCACAAAGGAGAAAAAGAATTATCTTTTCTTACTCCTTCTCTTCTGTAAGACAAGTAGTTTTACAAAGATTCCAGTAGCAGGGTGGGGTCGAGATAGTTCATTGGTTTTGGTATTAGAAGAGCAAGACAGAATCTATAACATAGACAATGCATGTTACCTTAGAACATATCCTGAAGTTAACTGGGGATAGGTGTTTCCTACAAAATGGAGATGGAATTAAACATGAAGGAGTTTCAAAAAAGGGAGAGTTGATCTAGATTCAACTGGCTAAAAACATACTTAGTTGTATTTAAGAGTAATTTATCCAGGAAGAGTTCGTAATCACCTTCCCTAGAACTTCAATTTGAAATGACCAGGGCTGCTACCACCCTGGAATAGTCTCTATAATATTTACTGATATGCTCATTTGGATACTAATGATGCTATTTATTGGAATGAAGTTTATGGCAACAATAAGAAAATCTAACATATATTGAATGTTAGCAATATGCTAGTACTGTCTATGCATTTTTATTAACTAGTTTTTTAAAGGAATTCTTTGGGGGTACTTTCGATTATCACCATTTTGCAGAGATGAAAACTAAGGTGCAAACTAAGCTAGAAATTTGGATACCAGTGGACTAAGAGGAAATGTCATTAATTACACAACATATCTCTTTTTAACCTTTGTTTCCTTGTATATTTATGGCCAAAGGACAAAAGTGTAACAATTTTACACAGGGAAGATTAAACTGCTGGTTAATATGACAGAGTTGTGCTTCCTATTACAAACTTTGCAAATAGAATTTGTCACAGTTGCAATGTAAGATTGGAAAATTGTTTATATCATTGTATATATACATATAGTTTTTCAAGTATATATAAATCCAAATTTTGCACCCCATCAAATTTCAAAATATATGTTCCATATGTGAAAATCTTCTGACATGAGAGGGTATTGAATTTGAAATAAATAAACATATGTATATATACATATTTTTCCAGTAATGATTTAGCTGTCTCTTATTTTATCTGTTAGTGTAAATTCTCAGCTTGTACAATGCCTGAAATGGCGTACATTGTGTACAGGTAGCCTCTCATCTTCCAGAAGAAGTCATGTTGTTCAATAAGAATCAGTGATCAAGATTAACAGATGTTTCTTGCAAAACAAAATGCTGTCCAGTTTAGAATATAAAAATGGAGCAGTTTGTGAAAATGACTGTGTGATTTGAGGGTATTTTCTTTCCCAATATTATAGAAACAAATAAAAGAAAAACAAATATACTTTGTGAGACAATGTTCCATTTTTAAAGATACACTGAAAGAGTTGCAGACCAGGAAACAGTCATGAGGCTATCGATAATGAGACAGGGGAATGCATTTCAGCATTGTTTCCATTTTTCAAAATCATCTATCACAGAAAAGTAGTTTGAAATGTCTGTCTTGTTTTCAATTTTTCCAAAATATATTCAGACAAAATAGCCTGAATGGGCTATCTTGTGTTTTCGATTCTGTTCCAGATTTATTTCTGATTATAGCCTTTTTTTGAATTTAGATACTCTCTCTTTGGGGGAATGAATAGCATTATGCTTAATCTTCTCTGGCCGCTCCAAAATGAACACAGAAAACTTTCAGGGTGATAAATTATTTTTCTCATGGAACCCATCACATTTTCTTTCAGGCTGCTCTGAGCCTCTGGGGATGAAATCAGGACATATACAAGACTATCAAATCACTGCCTCCAGCATCTTCAGAACACTCAACATGGACATGTTTACTTGGGAACCAAGGAAGGCACGCCTGGACAAGCAGGGCAAAGTGAATGCCTGGACCTCAGGTCACAATGACCAGTCACAGTGGCTACAGGTAATAATTTCTAAAACCCACTGCTTCTCCAGAAGATTTCCTACTGGTTAGGTGAAGTCCAAGTTATTCCCTTCAAACTAATTTAAATCTATCTTCCTCTTTAGTTTAACCAAATCAGTAAAACAGATTCTTTAGGATGTCATGTTCATGTGCTGTTTTTATTCTGATGTTGATTTATGCCTGCTACTGTCAGATTGCTGCAGCAGATTGTACCCGATCATACTATGTGTAGGTCAATTCGATTGATTATGGAGCATTTGTATTTTAACTCTCATCTGTTCTAGTGTTCATGTCAGTATTGTTTTGAAAGCATCAGAGCAGAAATCCAAACTGCCTTGAAATCATACCACTGACCCGCAGACTGTTCCCACAGAATCATGACTCATGACTTATTAGCGCTCTACCTGCAGTTGCTAAGCAATGGACAATTTGATTACATTCTCATAAAAGAGCTTGCTTACAGAAGGAAGGCGTACATACTGCACAGTCTATTTTTTCATTTGCAAGTGAAGTAAGGTCACAGGGCTTTTAAAAACAATCTTCTTAAAATGCACTTTCTGTGGGGTACTTTTCAATATGCATAAATGTGTTAATGTGTTCAGTGGCAAAGAAAAGGAAGACAGCTTAATTCCATAATGAGGTGACTTTATCTGAAAGATACAAGTTCAGCTCTTATTGATTTTTATGCTGTATCCATGGATTCCAAAATTGTGGCAATTTATTGTATTTCTGAAAATCAGGTAAGCAATTAAAATAGCAAATGTCACCCCTTGTCAAACAGCATCTGGAACTGTTCTCATAAGTCACTTAAAATTGCCATTGGTCTCTTCTCAGTCTTTTCTTCACTTGAGCTAACTTCTACTTCTTCTCATGGCTAGAAATACTCTTACTTTTTGTTCACATTTGGTCTGAGTCTTAATGAACTGGAGTTTTATTTAAACTCTTTCATTAGTTATCACTAATGATAACTATTTATGTGTGTCAAGCCACCTAGGAAGCATCCCATATCATGATAAATAGTGAGGACACAAACAATCAGCCCACTGGCCATGCTTTTAAAACATTGTCTCTCTAAAACTCATCTTTGATTTGTCTTGTGTTAACCAAGAAATAATCTGATTGTAATAAAATCAAAAAAAGTATTTATTTGAAATAGGAATCATGACCTGGGTCCACAAGTAAGGGGCAGACCCAAAATGTATTCCACCAGGATCAGGACACAAGGAAATGTCAAAGGTCAAGCGGGGGAGTGGTTTGAGCTGATGTCATTTGTTTTGAAGCTTTTGGATTGATCCACAGCAATCTTCATGTAGAAAAGTACAGTTTGTTATTTTTTGTAATAACAGATTTCCCCCTTTCTTTCCTAAATGGCTGAGGAAGGGAGAACAGGGAGCTGATGTACTTTTTGCAGTCACTGTGAGAGTGACTGCCAGTTGAGGCAGGTTGCAGCTTAGGGAAGAATTTTCAACATGTCAGTGAGACCCAAGATGGAGTCCATTTGAGTTATGTAGATTGCACACTTTTATGATACTCTCTTCTCTTTTCTTCCAACCTTCTGGCTGATGTGTCCCGACAATCTGTGGCCTCCATTATGGGTCCATTATGGTCTGTTATCTTTCTGCTAAGCTCCCTTTAACCAACTTCAAACACTCATCTTAACTAACTTAACAAGTATTAATGTTTTCAACTACTGAAAAAGCAAACTATTCAGCAGTTCTAAAATTATTTCGTTTATCACCACAGACACATCCATGGTCTAAGCATTCACTTTTTTTTTTTTAATCGAGGAGTTTGCAGAAACTTCATAACCATGATTTTTTTTTTAAGGAAAAAAAAAATCCCTTAATCCCTTGTTTAAACCTTCAGATTTTCTATATGACTCTCAAGATAGTCTTGATCTTTTAATGTAGCCTAAAAGTCTTCACACAATTTGGCCCATTCATCTCTTACCACACACTTATCACATTTATCAAACTTGCTTCACTTTTTCAAACCTAATGTTATTTCCTCCATTTATTATAAATGGCCTCTTCTGAAAGGAAAATAATAGAAAGAACACTGTAGCTCTGCTCACAGCCTCTCCAACTTTTGTTGGTTAAATTCTTCAACTACATTTTGGGAGCATCTTCCTCAGGGGAGGCCTTGCTACCAGCTCCATCTCACACAAATCTAGCCTAAGTTCTTTCCTGCATAACCCCGTCCCATCTTTAATTCTCCTACTGTAGCATTATCACCAATATTGGAAGTTGTGTTTTGTTTTTTGTTTTGTTTTGTTTTGTTTTGTTTTTAAGATTCATTTATTTGTGCATACAGAACTGGGGTACAGTCCATAGGCTCAGGGACGGTGAGAGGCTTCACCAGAGACAGAGTGGGGATCAGAACAGGTAGATCAATGAAGTACACTGCTGAGGGGAGCAGCGGGCGGGTCAGGAGAGGTCTCCCACGCCATGTGGATGACATTCAGGGCAGGGATCCAACTCATGCTGAAGTGGCTTTAGCTTCTCTCAGTGCTGTGCTTTAACCCGCTGAACCACCAGGGAGGGCCGGAAGTTGTGTTTTTAATGTTAGGTTGTTGGCTTCTAGCAGAATGAAAACAGATCTATTCTTTTGACTTTTTTAGCTCGTTGTTCAGTACCTAACTAAGGAATTGTCCTAACTCCTGACACATGAATGTATAAATAAATGAATGAATGGAAGAGTGAATAGTTCAACTAGAAGTCAAATTAGTTCTTTGGGCCTTTCTACTAATATATAATTTTGATTTACAATATAGGAGACCAGCTGCTAATATCCTCAAATTTTTGAATAATATGTGAAAAGGAAATCTAAAATTTTATATTAGAAATAAAAAATAAATAAAAAATACTGTAATAATCTTTATGTAATTCTCAAGTTCTTGATGAAACCATGAGCTCTCTTTTTCATTTGTTACACTTGAATGGTGGAGCTAAACTTGTTTTTGTGTTACTGTATAACATTCCTTAAACTGGAAATATTTCAGTTGTATTTGAAATTAACTGAACATAGGTAATATTATTTGTAACATATTTTATACCCCTTAAGTAACTCAGATACGCTGGTAAATTGAAAATAGTCTCATGAAGGCATTGTCAATGGCAAATTCCTTTAGAAAAATAAATAATATATATTTTTATATGAATCAGACTGTAATCTTCTGTGCAAATCTCCATCCATCACTTTTTTAAGATGACTTTTTTAGCTGTCTTCTGCAAGTTACTTGCAGGCTGAAATCTATTCATTCTTTTGGTGACAGATATTCTATCAATTCAAGAACCAGTACTTCCAGTATGTTTCTCTTTTTTCTTTTGTTGTGTCAAAACATAGTGAGAATCTATAAGACAAGGTAAATTGACAAATTTATTTTTATTTATTTATGTTTCTTATTTGACATCATACAAGAAAATGCTCTAGAGTTGTGACTATTTTTAGTGTTTAAGCCTTAAGAGAATATAATCTCTTCAATTGTATGTTATCATGCTTGTTAGTGCTTATGCTGAAAATGAGATAGAACTTTTTGATTGATAAAATATCGGGTGCTTTTGTTTTTAAGTTGTTGATAGTAAATTTGTAGTCCTAGTCTAAGCTTCTGAATTTATAAATATTACTTGTGTTTTAACCTAAAACATACCAATTTTTGAGCAATAGCTCTTCTGAAGACAGAACAGGTTCTCATTTAAATTCCTTACCTTCAATCTCCTGTTAACTGAATTTTTAAGGAATTTACTTTATACAACAACTATTCATGTAAATGAGTTTTATATCAGTTTAATAAGATTTTCCAAAACTTAACCAGATAATATATGAAAATACAATTGTCAATTAAAACTCTAAACTTTTGCCTAATTGTCATATATTTCAAGAATGTTTATGTATTCTTTTTAGAATTTTTTATGTATTTAAATAGAATTTTAACTACTCTTATCTGTTGTTATTTTAGTGTTTCTTAATGTTTCTTCTGTAAGGTCAAAATCTCAGGAGTTTCTCAAGCAAGTATTAATGATATTTTTATAGAAGTGATCTACTTAACTCATTATCTTCTTGAGATATAGTTAATTATAAAATCACTTTATGATTCCTAAATGATCAAGGTAAAGATAATCTGTAAAATCCACAGAGAGTATTAAGTGAGAGAGGCTTTTCTCACATGTGTGAAAAACACATCCATCACTTTAATGTGTTTGATAATATTCAAAACTTTCAGCAAAAAGACTTGCAATGTGTTTTTCAAAATCATCTCAAGTTGAAATTATAGTTTCTGCCATTCAGAAAATCTTACCTATACCTAAATTGAATGAATTTGAGACAATCATTTCTGACTCATGTTGGGCTTGCACAGCTTATGGTTGGACTAGATTTTAAACCCTTTTTGAAAATGAAGTGTTGTTTAATCCAATGAGATCTTTTAGGGTCACGTTGTTATTTTCATGGTTAGTATCTGTGGAAAAAAAGGGGGGCTCTAGAAATTCTGTTGAATTTTAAAATAGATTAAATATTACAAATGACAGGAAGGAGATGAACATGTTAAGTGACCAATATTGGTAGCTCCCTTCTTTCTCTGTCTGGTGGCTAGTGTACATTTCAGAGAGCATATTCTGACACTACCAATTATATTTAGGATCAAAGCTCGGTATACATATTTTTAGCTTCTTCCAAAAGGAACTTTTTCAATACTGTGAAATGTAAAATAATAGATTATTAGGTCAGATTTAAACTGTGAGCATTGTTGATAAATCACATAAATTTGCATTGGCAAACAAAATTTAAAGTTTTATCTAGGTAGCAGTATATTTTTCAGATTTTTTTACTTGGGACTAGTAGTAACAATAAATATTAATCACTTAAGATGAACAGTATGCCATTTGGCAATGTTCTTTTAAAAAGTATATTCTCACTAGGATAGTGCTTATTTTCCAGTGGCTTTCAGCAGATTGAATAAATTCCCTTTTTATTTGTATTTATATTACAAAAACTGATTAAAT